GACAGGCGAAAAACGTTGCCGACTACGGCGATCGAACTGTCGTGAATGTGTGTGTGCGTGTTTTCGTCGAATACTGGAGCTGAGGCGGCAGGACCGGATCCCAGACATGGACGTACTGGAACGGACGGGAATCCTCAGCATCTATGCTATGCTCTGACAACTACAACTTTCCTGGAGCGGCCACCTCGCTCGGAGGGACGACGAGAGGCTACCCAAGCGACTCCTCTATGGAGATGTCACGACGGCTTCACACCGACAAGTAGGCCAAGTCCGTTGATACAAGGACACTAAAGACTTTCCTGAAGCGTCTGCAGATCAACCCGGCAAACTGGTAAGACCTCGCCCGAACCCACCTACGTGGAGCAGAACAGTGAAGACAGGCGCAGCAATCTTCGAAGCCAATCGCACCACCGCCGCCAAAGCCAAACGCGAGACACACAAATCTCAACTGCCGCCGCCGCCTCACAACGTCGATGCCCAACCGCCAACCCCTTAATGTCCACGATGCCAACGGACATTTTGAACGCCAACTGGATTTGTTGAACACCTCCGGCCCAACTGCAGCACCCGGATTGAACCAACCGTCGTCTCTCCTTCCACCTCTCCATCGCCTCCCACGCCGTCAACTAACATTGACGGCCCTCCCGAAGCACCACTATATCCCCTCCTTCGCCTCAGCGTCTGCCGCTGTGGCGTCTGTCATGCCCCTCAACACTACACACGATCCTGACACATCAACAAACACCAATTATGAGAGTCTGGTCTATACCTGTCCTCATTGCGATTGCGCCTTCACCTCACACATCGGACTGGTCAGTCACTTGCGAATCCATCGCACAGCGACTGGTGAACCAGTGCCTGGAACACCAACCTACACCCGCCGCGCCCGCCTCCATTGTCCACACTGCCCTCGCACATTCCTGCACCACATGGGCCTATTTGGCCACATATGTATTCACGAGAGTGGAATTGACCACAGCCCCGATACACCTAGCCCATGCGGCACACTCACCATGCCTAGCCCCACACATACCGCCGCATAGCGCGCCTACTGCAACCAGCTCCACCATCACCATCGCCGAAACTGATACTGGCACCACCGACCCCTCATGTCCATACTGTCCCCGTACATTCCCCTCAAGCATCGGCCTGGTCGGTCACTTGCGAATCTATCGTATAGATATTGACGAACCGGTGCCTGGAGCACCAATCTACATTCGCCGCATCCGGCTCCACTGTCCGCATTGCATTCGCACATGCATTACATGGGTCTATTAGGCCACATGCGTGTTCACAGAAACCTGCGGTAAACAACCGTCGGCTGTTCCACACCATCACATCCTCCCACACCAGCATCTCACCGCAATTCAACAGCACCCAACTGCCACCTCTCACGAAAGCGGGAAGTGTGTGTCTCGGTGCCCTCACCATGAGGCTTTTAGCTTGCATATATGGTCGGAGTTTGAGACGAAGACGGTGCGTCGAGCACCGTGACTCGGAAGGCAGCCGATTAACGCCCCTACCCAGACCACACAATCTGCTTAGTTGTGTGTGTGTTGTGAGTAGTGGCGGACTGGTGAGCCGAGTGCCAGGCTGTCACGCCCCCCCCCCCTCCTCAAGTTATCTGCGACACTCATGCATTTGAGGAGTGTGTGTGCTTTATGGGCAGTGCCTCTCAGTCGACGACCGCTTGGTTATCCAACCTTCAAGGGTGACTGCCCAGGCCAAATGCAGGGCTACGTGTCACCCTTCTAGGTCAAAAGGTTCGAAAGCGTGTGCTATGCCAGTACCAACAAACCATGGTCCTCGCAGCCCGATATGCGCTGGCAGTTCCCTGACACCTGGTTCCCTGCCGGTAGATGCGGTTGCGCTCCCGCTGGGTATACAGGTGGTAGGCATGGCTGCCCAGTCATCATCCTCGTCCTCCTGAGCCCTGTTGGGGTGTTGTTGTTGCTGTTGGTGAAAAAATCTGGTGAAGTGTATATTGTGGATCATGGGCTGTATTGGCACGCCTCGGTGCGGACCCGGCCGTGCAGGCCACCTGCGTCCTCCCCGCCTCCGGTCAGAAGAACTTCATAAAAGTCCCACAGTTGCCATGGCTCAAAGCCACCAAGCCAGCCACCCACATGTAATTACCGTCACCGGGACTCACCTTATCTCTGGCGCTGACTGGAATTGTGGTTTTTCATTCTCCTCCTCCTCTCCCCTTCCAAACCCCAGCTACAGCTTACTTATCTACTTGCCCGTATCTTTTAATTCATTATCTCCGTAGTCATATAAATGTACAGGCCTGAGGAGAATTTATCGAAAGCAGGCGTATGCTCGCCAAATTGCCTTTTGAATTTTACAATGGGAATTTTCGCAACTCTAAAACAGTCCCCATTTATTTTGGAGTGCAGATTGAATGGCTGTCTCAGCGTAGCGGTGATATCTGAACCCTCGCAAAATTTACGTGAAAATCCCATTTGAATGACATGAACCAGAAAATAGAACAATGGTTATAGAATAACCGTTTTCAAGACTCATGTTTATACCACAAACGCAGGTTATGTGGGGGAGGAGAGTGCTGTAGATTCTGCCAAAGTCCACTATTACTAAGGACTACAAGCGCCAATCACTGCTTCTATACTGAGATCGTGGGGCAGTGTTTGAGGTCGTTGCTTGCCACGGTCTAACCGTTGTGTCGTATTACCCGAGGCGTGGCCTGCTTATTCGTTTTTGCTTCACTGGCCGAGGAGTAGTGTGCCTAAATGGGCATGAACGGATTTAACCGTCTGGGTGCTCGTGTGCGCAAGCTGGAGTCAGCTGAGCGGCTGTAGTTCAGCGTACTTGAGCTAAGGTGAGGATGCTTCGCGGCCGGAACTTATGCGATGCAAATAAAGTGGAGGGTACAAGGATGGCGTCTGACCACATCTCCCCAGAGTGGAATAAGTATAGGACGGTGAGTTGCGGGGTAGATATAAATCTCTTCCCCTCCTCCCCCTCCCCCCTGCCGCCGTTTGCGATTCAACTGTAAGTTTCTGTGCAATTCCTGGAGTCTTCGTAAAGAACCTGGGGGTACATGAATTCCTGAAGCGAATGCGGACGGCGTGTAATGGTCTCTATGCATACCGAAAGAGTAATGTGCTTACGAGACCGTTAGGGTGAACGAATGGACAAAGACTTCGGGGCTCCATTGGGCGATAAACATAAAGGGCACATTTCCTCGTTTAAAGCCCACAATCTCAATCTCATTTAGAATTTTCCACATTACCTTCTACATGAAGTTAATCTGGTAGTGTGAAAAGCTCATAGGATTGCCATTTAGGAGCTAGTATACGAAAGACAGCGGCCAGATAAATCCGTCTCTACTGAAGTGAAAGACATAAAGGCTCGCTTAATTTCATTTAAGGTGTCCCTACAGGCTGAATTTTCACACTGAGGAAGATGTCTGAGGAATTTAAAGTATTGAAATAATGCAAATGCCGATTATGCGTAACTGCACGCCCCCCACTGACTCGCTTTTTTATTACCCCTTGAAAGCTACCTGGGGAGGCTGAAGAATTTACTACGCAAGCTATCCCAGCCTCTGTGACTGAGAGCTACGTGCATAAACGAGGTAGGCTTTGGAATAACTGTATCAAAAGAGCCGCCTCAATGTAGTCTTCTTCAAAAGCATAAGGGAGGTTTATTGCCTGTCGGCAGTAATTTTAGTAAGCACTAAGCGTGAAATAAGCGTATGCGTTATGCATGAGAGAGGGAAGAGAGTTTGCGGCAGACACTGAAGAATCCGTCCCCAGGACACACCAGCGCATTTCACACTACTATAAATCTGACGCACTAAAAGCCATGCCTTGGGACGTGGCCAACTGACGGAAAAACTCGGTCCTCCCGGGGCTGAGAGTCGGGCTCCAATGCCTCCACCTTAGTGTCGTCTATATGGCACTCTTGTGGGATCTGAATCGCCTTCATGAAAACCCGGCTGATGGGGACCAGGTCGTGTGGTGCACGCGTAGACAGGTCATTTAACTTTGCGTCCACGCCTCCTCCGGTCGTCTTGACGTTGCACTGCCACCGGGGCCAGCTAGGTGAAGGAGTAGAAAGCGTGCGGTGGGATGTTCCATAACTCTGCCTCACTATAAACGAATTTCTGCACAGGTCGCCGACGCTGCGCACACTCCGCGGGTCAGATGATGACCCCTGTCGCTTGCGATGGGCAGACTATCGGATTCGCCTCGTGAACGGCTACGGTAAATTTAGGGACACACGACAATTACGGGGCTGTTTCTTATTCGTCAGTCTGTCCACGTAGTCTGCGACACTGGAGGTAGCTAGCGCCGGGCGGTCACAATCCCTAATATCAGGGTATTCGCTATGAAAGCCCACCGCAGTAAGATATGAAGATCACCAGCGAAATCTGTGGTTGCTTGAGGAGTAGTTAGCAACCTCAGCCGGCAGAGGACGACATTACAAATCAGTGGGCGCTATTTCTTGATGAAAAGATGCCGGACTGCGACGTGAAGTTCGGCTGACACTGTCGACCTTTTAATAGACAGACAAAGGAGAGACAACAATTGTGGAAAAAATGTGCAGAAATTCGAGGCATGTTAAAGTGCTTCAGTAGATTTTATAAACAAGTTGTAATCTAGGCACCTCTATGACGACAACTTACATTTATTAGTCATAAATCATGCTTAACTCCTCATTCGAAGTCACCTTCACGCGAACAGAAGCGACTGGCAGATCTAAACACTGTCGACCAAAACGTTAATGTTAGGCTAGATGCTTGCGGATCGAATTATTGTATTCCTCCAGTTGAATCAAACGTCATAGGATACATAAGAGGTGGCAAGGGCAGTACCACTCTACCAGACGACGAAAGATATTCAGCAATAGCCATAAAAAGAACAGACTATCACGGCGTGGAGAGTTTCGGTCACTTCGGGTCGTTTTCTACCTGTACGTGGATAAGCAACAGCAGAATTGGGTCGCCATCTGAGAGTCTAAGCCGTCCTCCTCGAGGACGCACTGGTATACCCTCGTGAGAGGCCTAATTCTTCTTGTTTGCATCTCCCAGTCAGCAGACCGCGACTGAATGCCAAATGCAGCCGCGTTTCCCTTCCATAATAGTGTCTTTGCCATTCTGGCGGCCTGAAGAATGCATTCTCGCTCAGCCACTCCAAAAACTAGTAGATCAGAAATGCGGAACACTCCAGTCTCCCAAATGACCATGACTTCCTTAGCATAACTCAATTCCTTGAACGAAGGCAAATCTACGAAGTCGGTACTGAGACGGGTTGCCACGAAGGGACCGTGACTCTGATGGAAAGGCACCAACTTACAGGTCAACAGGGCCAGAGCCCGTTGCTTCTTTACTATACCGAACTCGCCAAATAATGCCCCGCTCGGGGAGACTGTTCGTACCTCATTTTCTTTGCACACATCCAGCTTTCATTCATTGTTCTGATGAGTCCTGGTACGAGCAGCAGCAAACACACAAGTAACCACTCGAACGGTCGAATCAAGTCTGACGTGATTCATCAGTTTGTTTCTTCCACGCCGCCGACCTTTATACGTAAAATTTTGTCCGGTTTTGGAGAGGAACCAGCAGGTGTTATGATACGCGCAGGCAGGCAGGCTGGCTGGCAAAGTGCGGTCAACTATTTTGCCCAATTCTTGTCCGGTTACCTTGGCCTAGTTTCGTCGCTGAAGCGCAATGGGTGGGAATGGCATGGCTGGGGGATTGGTGCTGTGTACATTTCCTTTCATATGATACATTTCGTGCATATGCCATCTCTGGCATGATCGCCACCACGCCACTACCCTAAACTAAAATCTTCAAGTCTGGATGGGAACGACAAAGCGGTGCCGATGGAGAGAGAGAGGGAGAGAGAGAGAGAGAGAGAGAGAGAGAGAAAGAAAGAAAAAAAGAAAGAAAGAAAGAGTGGGAAGGAGCAGAAATGATGTTTTCAGACCTGCATTCCCATTGGCAACATACAGTGGTACAGAGGAGAAGAATTGGACAGTTGTGTGGATGCCTTGGCGGCCCTACTTGGCGGGCACT